CAAAGTTAGTAAAAAAGTAATATAATAAAATTATATGCTCATATCAGTAAAATATATAATTTAAATTATGAGTTTTAAAAATATAAATTAAGAGTATAACATATAATATTTCATATTACTAGATGTATAAATATTACCCTTTATAATAAAAATATTTTTTCATGTATAGTAATTTGTAATTTTAAAATAATAATATATATATTTAATAAATTAGTGATTAATATAAAAAAATAATATATTACAGATTAAATTTTGGACAAATATGTCTGATTTTGAAAAAGATTATAAAATAATTACAGTCAACTCTTATTATAATAAACTCTATATCTTAGATCTCAACTTCGCTATAAAGCTATAGTGAAGATTTTAAAAGATTAATTAGCTAATTCACTATAACAAAAGTATTTTTATTATATTTGTTCAAAAAATTTGTTATATTAAGAATTCGCTATATTAAGAGTTGACTATAATCAAATGTTTAATAATTATATATTTATTTCAAATATGATTTTGAAAAAAAAGGCTATTTTTTGCAAATAATTTGATATATATAAAAATACTTTAATTTTTCAAATAGTTGGATTATATGATTTAAGAAAAGTAATAACTTTTGATATTATAAATTATATAGAGAATCAGTAAGTATTCTATTAAAAACATTATCTTAAGAATAAAAAAACTTTGACAAATTTTACAATAATATAACTTAAATGATATCTATAATAGTGATGAAACTGATTTATTTTTTATATAATTAAAATTCTCACATATAGATCTGTTAATAGAATTAAAAACTAAGATTTTTATTTTATTTTTATTTATATATGTCATTAGTATTAGTTAACTAAATATTTATTACTTGTATTCTTATGTTAATAGTAGTATATTATTAAAAATTTCTTTTATTTTTTACTAATAAGATAAATTAGAATGATTATAATACTAATATCAATATATCTAAAAATCATAAGTTGAAACTATTATTAATTGGCAAATCTTTGAAGTTATAAACTTTTCACAGCTTTAAACTTCCTAATTTTTAATTATATATAAAATAAATAAAAAGGTATAGATAAGACATGATATTTTTAATAATGGATTAGTGAATTAAATTGTGAATTTTATTTTTAAGGCTGATATATTGTTTTAATTATTGATAATATTTTATCACATAAATTTATTACTTTCTTTAATAAATTAAAAATGATAATGATTATAATAATAATTATGATGAAGATTTAATAATAATTTTATTAATAATAAATTTAGAGAAACTTTAGAAAATGAAACAAATAATTGTAAATAAAAAGGTCATAGTTTATTAAACAGAAAAGGTAATGAAGAAAAAATAGCATTGAATTTACTAATATCTGAATTATATTTTTTTTGCTAAATATGATATCAAAATTTCAATCTATAAATGCTGAAATTATTCAAAATTTTAAGGTATAATATATTTGAATATAAGTTAAATATAAATAACTATATATTTAACATTTAATTAAACAATTTGATCAAGATATTGATATATATAAGTAAGTATTTTTTATTATTTTTGTGTTTATTATTTTTATATAAAATTACTAATATTTTACTTAATGTAAAAAAAAATTAGATATTAAATAAGCTATTAATTATATTATAAAAACTTGAGAAAATAAATCATATGTAATTGTTAGAAAAAAATTAGAATTGTATTTAATTTTAATCCTGAATCAATACAACAAGAATTGAATATACTTGTTAATAAAATTTTAGATATAATGCTAATTATTTTCATTGACAATAAAATTTAAATAGTTTAATAAATTATATTTATGATTAAACTTCTCCACTTACTGAAAAAATTTAACTAATAAATCATAGATGTAGTATAAGATTATGATAAAGAAGCGTCTGATATTAATAATGAAGAAAAACTAATTTCAAAAGTTTTATCAAAAAAAATACTTGATATAATCAAAAAAATAATTCTCTTTTAAAAACAATTACTTATCAGTGATGAGTTTAAAATAGATGATTTTAAAGTTTTTAAATATTATATTTTAATTTGAAAGTATATTATCTCTTAAAGCATAAGTATAAATTGATTATAAAATATTATAAAAAAATTATAATATTTTAATATTTAATGATTATAAAAAGATAAAATAAAATTTATTAAATTTGTTATATTAAGATATATCTAACAATAGTATTTTTAATTTTTAAAAATTAATAATTATTAATAATTATTAATTTTTTAAAATAACTTATTATTTAATAATTATAAAAAAATAAAATCTAATTTATTAGAGTTATCTCATTAAGGCCTATTAAATAATTATATTTTTATATTTTTAAGTTCAATAGATAGTAAGATATATAAGTTTAAAATTTTAACTTTTTTCATAATAATTTATCATATATTTATTTTTAAAATATCACTAATTAATTATATTTTTTTTAAATTTTTACTTAGAAAATATTATAAAATTTATTAATTTTTAAATAAATTATTTTAAAAATATTTAAGCTTATTATAAATAATTTTAATTATTAAATAAAATTGCAGGTAAATTTTCTGTAAAATGCTTGAAGAGATATTACTTCTTTATAATAAAAATTAATTGAAAATTATTTTTCTTCTAATTAAAACATTTTAATATTGTATAATTTTTAATTTTTAATAATATATTTAATATAATTATATCTTAATATTATAATAAATAAAATATCTATTAATTAATAAAATTAATATATTACAAATTTTTTATTTATATTTTACTGTTAAAAGTTTATTTATAGTCATATTTAATTATAATTAGTGAATATAAAAATGTTTTAAATATATAACTATAATAAGAGTTGATTGTATTTTTTTTAATAATTAAATTTTTGATTATAAATTAAAATGAATTTTTATTTTTAAAAAAATATACAAATAAAATAATTATTATATTATTAATATATAAAAAATTTAATAAATCAAATAATAATATTTAATAATTTATAAGTATTTATGATAATTTTAAATTTATATTAAATTTTTTTAATTTTTAAATTAAATTCTTTTTTTATTGATTATTATAATATGACTTATAAATAAAATATTCATATTTTGTATTAGAATAAAACTTTAATTTTTTGATATAATATTATTTTAAATATGTAGAACTATTATTTTTTAAATTATATTTATTGAAAATTTATTTTTACTAGAATTATAAATGTAATATAATAAATTCTTTAATTTTAGTTAGTAGTTTTATTTAAATAACTTTTTTAAGATTTTTAATAAACTTCTTTTTATTAATATAAAACTTTTGCAATAGAAAGGAGAGAAACGGCTGGAGAAAATAAAAATTGAATTAATGTTAAATTTGAACATATTTTGACTTAAAAATCATATTTTGCATATAAAAGTTAAATTAAATTTTTCTGACAATTTTCCCTCTTTCTATTGTAAAGATTCCATATGATCAAAAAATATTATAATTTAATTAACTTTAATAAAATAATATAAAATGATAACATAATAAGTTTTATACAATTTTAAAAAATATATTAAATATCTAATATATAAAAAATTTATAAAATTTCTTGATTATAAAAATTAATAAATACTTTCTAATTCTTTATATTTATTATAATAAAAGAGATTATAATCAATATGATCTTTAGTATAAAATATTATATTAAACTATAAATTTTAATGTATTTTATTTGATAATAAAATTTTATAAGGATTTTTAATTTTATATATTCTAAAAGAAATTAAATAATATCTTTTATGCTAATGTATTTATAATGTTTATTTTTTTTAAAAATAATAACTTAAAAGACTAAAATTTGAATGTATTTTTTAAGTATATTACTAATAAAATTTATTAATATATTGTAAAATTAATAAATTTATAAGGTAAAATAGTCAAGTTAAATTATATCATCATATTTAAAATAAATTGAAATAAAGTATTAATAGAGAGAAAGGCTTTAAAAAAATATCTAGAATAGCAAAAAATTAACTAATATAATTAAATTATGTTATGCCTATAAATAATAATTAAATTATATTATAATATTAAGATCATAAAATTATATATAAGTTAAATTATAACAATAAGGTTATAAGACTATACAGTACTTAGATCATATCATAATAGCAAGATTATGAAATTATATTTATTATAGTAAGTTATAATCATAATATATTTTAATTCATTTAAGCTTTGTTTATTAAATGGCTTTTGATTATATTAATAAAGTCAAAATAATTAATTCAAAACTTATTATTTATTATAAGCTGATTTTTTTTTGATTAATAATTTATATATTTTAATAATAATTAAAAATTTTAATTTTAATAATAAAAAGTATTATAAAATTTATAATATCTGATAATATTTATTTATTTTTTTGTTAAAAGATTTAATGCTTTATTTTTTAAAGGGATTTTTTATTAAGATTGATTATATTCAACATATTATGTAAATATTTGAATTATTGTAATTATTGTGAAAATTAATTCTTAAATTAGTTAAATATAAATTTTTTTTTTAGTTTCAATAGTTATTGAAATCTTCATAATTAGTTATATTTTATATACAATTTTGCAATCTTTTTAATTTTAATAAAAATAATAAAAATATATCGCGGAATTATATAGTCTTAACCTTTTAAGAAATAATGTATGTTCTTGCCAAAATTCTGGTTTATAATTTAAGTTTGGAAATTTTTTATTTTTTTTTATTACGTGATGTATCACATAAACAAATAATTAATATTTATAATATTTATAAATTTGCTTTTTAAGAAAGGAATTTTTTGCCATATTGATCTCTGATAAGATTAAAAAGAGGATCTGCAAATCGCCACACTTTTTTGACAATGTATCTTTGACATCGATTAATTACATTAATTACCTAACAATAACAAATAAAATTATGTAAAGTTGAACCTTTTTAACTTCTTTACCGTCGAGTCTAATAATTAGTGATTTTTATAACGAAATATTTCATATGGAGCCCATTGAAGAGGTAAGTTATCTATATATTTATAGCTTTGCGAGGTTCTTTTTTTAATAGCATTTTGTTTTATTAGACTGTCAGAGAAATAAAGTGGAACGTTTTAGAACAATTCTCTAAGGTTGCCCGTTATACACGCAATACAGCTAGTATGGTTTTAATATTAAGTTGAATGGTCTTTACTAAAAAATTGTTGTATCTAAACATATCCTTTCTATTGAACTTCGAAATAAATTCAGCAAACCTACTTGATAATCCATTGGCACGTCCCCTTTTACCGCACCTTTCTCCTGGATTTGTACCGTCAGAATCCACCCGTTCAGTAGTTGATGAATATGATGTTGGAAGAGTTTATTTGGCGAAATGGGCTGCGAGTGTTGCTGAACAGGCTGAGGAGGCGGCCATGTCAGAATATCCTAATCAATCGCGTGAAGAACTATACGTGAATAATTTTAAAAAACGTTGGTCTGATACAGATCCAAGATCATGGGAAGAGGAAACAGAGGTGGGGGCATTTGAAATTTTGAGCGTATGTAATAACAAAAAAATGGATTCATCTTTTTAATGGTAGGGATTTTTACATTTACTTAATAATTCTATCATATATATATGAAATAGAATGAAGCGACATTGCCACCATTGCACGCTACTCGCTCGAATCCTCTTAATGCTGAAAGATGGTTTTCTTTTTTTGACACGGAAGGAAGACTCAAAGTAGAATTAAGTGAGGTACAAGAGGCAGTATTCCGAGGGGTAAGTTCTTATAATAATGTTAACCTATTAAATTATGAGTTCATCAATATACTACATATATAATTTGTTTTATATAACTCTAATCGAAGGGTGTTGAAGATGATATTAGAGTTGAAGTTTGGAAATATTTCTTGGGTATTTATTCATGGGATTCAAATCAAGTAGAAAGAGAAAGTATGTTGGAGGCTAAGGCGTATGTACAAATTATTTTCATTATCATTATTTTTGTTTGTAACATTTTACGATATTTATTTATTATAAAGTCAGCAATATTGGGCTTTAAAACGAGAATGGTGGGATTCAGCTGAGGTACAGGCCGATGAAACTTTTAGAGAACAAAAAACAAGGATAGGTTTGTATTCGTCGAGACTTTTTTTCACATTTATATATATTATTCCATAGATTCAGAAAAAAGCATCAAAGGTTAAAAATAAGATTTTTTATAGAGAAGGATGTAATTCGAACTGACCGCAGCATATCCTTTTTTGCCGTTGAAGATATTCCTCATCCCGATCCATTATCATCAGCATCTTCTACTCTTACGAACAAGAACCTTGAACTTATGAAAGATATTTTGATGACATATAATTTTTATAACAAAGATCTTGGTTAGTTTTTGACGGATGGGTTCATACTAGGAAAGTGCTAATAGAGTGATTTTTTTTTTTAAATAAAAAAAACTACTAGGTTATGTTCAAGGAATGAGCGACTTATTAGCACCATTGTTTGTTGTCATGCGTAATGAAGTTACGGCGTTTTGGGCTTTTGTGGGATTCATGAACCGTATGGTATAACCTGTTTAATTAAGTTTTTTTTTTGCATTCTATGAAGAATAAGCTTGCATGTTTATATTACCTTTTATTATAATAGAAATCAAATTTTTATAGAGATCAAACTGGAATGAGGAGACAACTTTTAACACTTAATCATTTAATACAATTTATGGATCCTCAATTATATAAGCACCTTCGTGAGTTAATTCAATTGTTTTTCATATTTCATTTGATTTTGACATGTACTTGAATATGTATTGATTCTTATATAACCCATAACTAAATAGAGAAAACCGATTCTTTAAATCTATTTTTTTGTTTTCGTTGGATACTTGTTTGGTTCAAAAGAGAATTCAAATGGGACGAAGTACTTTTTTTGTGGGAAGTACTTTGGTCTGATTATTTGAGTTCACAGTTTCATTTATTCGTAGCCTTAGCTATTTTAGATAAGCATCGGATGGTAATAATGGAGAATTTACAACAATTTGATGAAATATTAAAGGTAATTATATTATAATAATTTATATAATTTAATTTTTGTTATTTAAAATTTTCTTTTTTTTTTTAAAAAAAAAATGTGTATATTTAGTATGTTAATGATCTTTCAACGACCATTCCTCTTGATGAAACATTATTACGAGCCGAGACCCTTTTTCATCAATTTCAACGAATGGTTGCTGCTGTTGATAGAAAGAGATTCGGAGCCACGACCGAAAGTTTTAGCGAAAATGTTAGAAGAAGAAAAGGCAAAGAATCCGAAACAAATGGTAATAGTAATGCAGGTGGTTCGTCGTCACCTTCTAATGCAAATGCGATGAAATTACCTGCAGTAAATGATCTGTTAAGAGAGTTGCTTAAAAAAGAACCTCCCCAAGATTAAGAATGTTTCTTATTATTATTATTATTTTCTTTTTTTAACTTGTTAATTCATTGTATAATATTCCTCAAAGAATAAATAATACATAAGTGTATATTCCATGAAGTATATATTCTGTAAAATCTTATGTAAACAATACATCATCATCTCCAAATTCATTTTTAATATCATAAAAATGATTTTTATTGAAATTAGTCACAATGATGATGTATGCAGTAAAGTACAGAATTATTATTAATTTTTTTTTTTTTTTAAAAAAAAAAAAAAAGAACATACAGAATGTTGAATATATATATATATACATGTATATGTATGTGAAGAAAAAAAAAAAAATTTTTTTTTTTGATCAAGGATAATTTCAGAATTGGAGGAATATCCATTCTTTTCTTTCGCTGGTTCTTTTAAAATCCCCCAAAGGTACTGTATGTCACTAATAGTCAACAAAAGAAAGTTAAAAGGTGCAGAGATTTAACTCGCTACTTTCAAGTTACAATGACCCTTTACCTGGTTTAAACATAATGCAATGACATGTCTTTCTAGCTTCGGCGCACCCAAATAACCCACTGGGTAATTCTTCAATCGTGATCCCCTTTTTATCAGTGAAACGCAATGATGACGCGCTCACGCGTTGCTTATAACCCGGATGTAACCAAAGTTTCTTTAGGGAAACTGGTAATTGTTCGATATCTTGATCCTCAACTTCATTATGAAGTTTTAATTCGCGGAGATTCGTCAGAGAACGAATCATGGTGCGCCGATGACATTCCCCAAGGGAGCAAGTCTCAACCTCACACGTGCATGAATCTTCCAAACCAGCGAAACAAGACAGGAAGATACAACAGTCCAGGTGGCGTAAACTCCTTGCGTACCGATCGCTGATGATCGAGAACAGGTTCTCTGGACTATCGGTATATAAGTGAAGTATAAGAGTGTGCAATGAAGCAACAGAATCCGGTAGGATTTGAATCCATCGGTCACCGTACAATTGATAGGTATATTGAGATTCGCAATCGTATGCGAGATGATATACGAAACCGGAAATTTTGAGATATTCTAACGTGGACGGTAATTTAAGGTTCTCGTAATTTATTGGTAGGGAAGGGTAGCTAACGGTAAGGTGTGTAAGGGTCGAAGGTAAAGCAAACACACCATCCACAAAAGAACATCGGGAAACGTCAAATCGCTTCAATGATTTAGGAAACGAACTTTGTTCATCCAGTATCAATTGATGCGTGATGTTTAACGAAGTTCCGCCGATCACGTCATAATCTTCGCTTGACAAGATACGATGATGATATTCTAACAAGTCTTGAGCTAAAATCAAAACTTTGATTTGACTTGGAAAACTATCGGTTCTAATGGCTTTAGTCAGACCTGCTGATTCCAACTTGTCACTTGAATTTGATGCTGTATCCTTATAATTTTGACAAGATATCAGCAAGCTTAATGTGTTTAGGTTTGGTAAATATTCTTCGATCAAACCGGATGGTAAGGGTTGATCGATATGAATCATTAAAGTTGACAAATTCCTAAACTTTTCCAAAGTCAGGGTAAGGAATGAATCATCAACTGATGCAAGTAAAGTTTACAATTATTATTATCATGATCGTTCTTTTTTTTAAAAAAAAAAAAAAAAGGTAAAATGATAAAACATTATTTAAGACTTACTCTTGGAACATTTTACGATCTTTAGTTCAGTAAGTTGTTCGTTAATGTTCAATAACCTGGAAGAAAAAAAAAAAAATGAAAATCCCATTTAAATGTTAAAATGACGCGAATGTCCACCCATAGGAATTCAATTTTCATTTACGTACCCTTCGATCGTAAGATCCGAGCAATCTTGTAAGGTCAATGATTGTAAGCACGACAAATCACTATTATTTAACCATTGATCGATCCCTGTATCCTGCCATCCTTTATACAAGGAGCGGCTATAAATCACGCTGAGCTTTTGCAAGTTATGAGGGCGAATGTAACGATCTTCCAACCCCTGAGTCTACGAGGGAAAGAAACGCGTATATATTTTCTTTTTTAAAAAAAAATGTTGTGAATCATTATACATTTTTTTTTTTTTTTTACTCACGTTTGTCTTGCGAAGATCGAGATTCATCTCGCATAGTAATTCAATTAAAATAGCGTTCCATTTTTTACAAGTCAAACGTAAGATTTCCTTTTGAACCTCGGCCGCAATCAACAGATCACGTGAGAAGTTCGAGTCCTCGTCTAACCAATAGTTATGATGAAAGTTATCCCTCCAAACCTTCAAATAATCAACCGGTACGATGAGACTAAAAATCTCTATAAGCAACTCCACGGGTAAATTTTCCACCACCTTGGTCTTACAACGATTATCCATAATCGAATGCGTTGATGATGATGATTTACGATGAAGGTGATGGTGCCGTTTACCGTTAATGATGTGAAATATGTCAAAATTGGAAAACTTTTTTCGAAAATTCTTTAATTTTTGCGCGGTAAACGTTGATCGATGCATTGTTAAAGGGATATAATGATGATATTTTTTGTCTTTCAGGAAAATGTGAAAAATGATAGAACGTTCGTTAGATTCAAAACGCGCGATATCCGTAAAAAAAAAAAATAAAGATAAAAAATAAAAAGGATAAAGGATAAGCTAAAAAAAAAAAAAAAATTAGAAAAAGTAGAAAAATTATGACGGAGGGAAAAATTTCAAACTAAATTTTTTTAAAAAATTGTCAATCCATGTACAATTTGATTGGACCCTTATTAAAAGGTCAAAACAGAGAAAGTTGATGCATAAAAAAGAAGTTTCGAATAGTGTTAATGAAGGAGAAGAAATGGAAGAGGAAATTTTTTATCCTCAATCATCATCAAAGTTTATCATCCGTCATTTTTTTTTTTATTTTTTTTTTATTTTTTACGATGAAACTGGCAAACAACAAAAAAAAAAAATTGGTAAATTTTGTGTCACGACAAAGATGATTGTTAATAAATTTTTAATTAATTAATTAAGGATTAAAAAACATTAATAAATATTTCGCGCCATAAATTTGGGGCTGAGCCCAAACGTTTTTCGATCCAAGTTATTAATATCTTTTTTTTTTTTTGATGACATGAAAAAATCATTTGTTTGTTTTGATTGATGCATCGCCTTAAATTAGCTACATAAACTTGTTGTCATACAAGAAAGATAAAAATAAAAATTTGATTCAAGCTTTTAATGAGATGATGATTCGAACTCTTTTAAAAAAAAAAAAACTTGCTTTGCTGATCATAAATGATTTTAACAAACAACAATAATAAATACATCTATCTCTTACAATTGGATCTGGCGTTTGAACACATCAAATGAATGGTTTTTGGCATTCATTTCGTTATCCTTTTATGCGGATCGAGAAAAAGTAAATTTAAAAGACAGTTCATCCGTTGATGACCTTCAAAGTCATGACATCGGCTGAAAATCAACGATATCACTAGTTATTTAATTCTCATTGATAACATATAATAATCATTTTGCTTTACATAATTCTGAAAAAAAAAAAAATTCCAAATTCGAAAAATTAATCGATGTTTTTTCTTGAATCATGGTGATCCAATAGAACAATTCGCAATTCTGAATCTCAGGATTAACTCGGTTATATCATTGGGACAACATTACTTTCCTCACTAATACGCCATCACGTGTTACACCGTATCACACTGTTTGATCTAAAAAATAAAGAGGTCTAGTTTCGTTACACCTATCTGAATATAATTGATGAATGGTAAAAATTGAAAAAATAGGTCATGATGACCAAATTTCTTAAAGAAAGAAAAGAAAGAGGAAATCCATTGTAAATGATTTTCCATAACGTTATAATAGCTATCTTTGGCGTATTGATAAAATGCCTTAACCATAAATAGGTAAATTTCTTATCCGCATTGTATTAGAGATTATTTTTTTTTTTTTTTTGACGCGAGAATTTTCATTTACGTTTCTAATAAAATATTCATTAGTATCTGATTTACTGTATTCCAAATAATGAAGGAGAAAAAGAATTCCAATGTAGAATCCTGTGACATGTAATGAATAAGAATTCTTTCTTTTCTTCCGAAAAGAGATATAATAAAGTCGATTATTACGTAAAGCTTTTGAAATTTAAAAAATGTTGGAAATTATCTGTTCAAATTTTTTTTTTTTAAAAAAAAAAGAATAAAAGAAAGAATAAAAGAATAAAAGAAAAAATCAACCTAAAAACCAAAATGTACCTTCATTCAATGCATGACAACTTCCAATTTAGTATTAATTAAATGACAGAATTTCATAGAGATGTTATTGACGTTTTTAATACCGAAAACTTTCTTTCAGAGCAACGCCATGTGAAAATAAAAGAATTACTGATTTGGTTTTAGAAGATTATCTTTTTGGCTTGACCTTGTCGAATTTTAATTGGACAAAAAGGTGCGTAAATGAGTTGAATTTGTTACAAAACTCCGATCGATCACGTATATGATTATCGGAACCATAGGTAATAATAATCCTTATCCAATATCCCGACCTTTGTTTTATTTTCTTTTGGAGCAAGTTTTTTCGCTGATAAAGCATAAACATGAATAAAGGAAATTAATGTTTATCTCAATAAACCGAAATTAGGACTCTTGAAACCTTTTCTATTTTACTAACCATGTGCGGTTAAACCTTTTTCCAGGTAACGATATTCCGAAATTACATGTATCATTTCGTCACAAACAATATTAAAACATAAATAATGACAAAGGAAATGATTAATAATCCATTAAAAATCTAAAAAATGCTAACGTAATATTACATTCTAACGAAAGCATTAGTTTTCTTACAATTCGGATGATATTCATTCGTCTAATAAATAATGTGAGTTTCTTTTTTCCGAGGAGCCTCAAACGAAAAAGTTTTGTGCTCGGAAAAAATCATGATTTTCATAAACCAGATTGAATATATATTTTTTTCAGAAAAGTGGAACCTTTTATTTCGCGAACCGGTTTA